CCCCCCCCCCCCCCCCCCCCCCCCGGGTCATGTCGAAAACTCCTTATGTTGAGCGCTACACCCATATATTAAATATTGAGCTAGCCGAGCGCTTGACAATTGAATCAGTCCTTTGAGCGTCGTATTATGTAGGTAGGGGCGATAATGCTTATTTTGATCCCTGCCCATTGAGCAGAAATAATACTTGTGCGGGGGATCATGCTTGTGGTGGTGGCTGGGGCAGGGCATCTTCCTCCTCGCGTCCGCCTGAGTCTCCAACCGTACGTTGGAGTCTGATGTTGCATATCCCTGCCCCAATGTGGTATCCTCGTAGCAGTTCATGTGCTTCTTCTGGTTGCTCCGTGTGCTGCGAGCGCTGCGTATGTCGCGGCAATCTGCACTCAACTGTTCCCAAGCCTGTTTGTTCCAAGGTTCGTTGTATCCCAGCCACAAGACTAGAAAGTTATTGCATCACTACTACTCTTGACGATGAACTATTCGTTACCCCAAGGAACAACTCAGCTTTATCACCAGCCACCAGCTGCAAACATCGAGTCTAGTCTGTACAGTACTACCAGGGTGTTGTGGTTAAGTCGACCGCCTAAAAGCTTTTGTCTTCGAAAGCAAAACGTCCTCCGTCCTTAATTTCTGTGTTTTCAAAACAGTTCCAGCTTGTGGGTGTACAATTCCATCTACAACCGTCCCTTTTCGCTACGGCTGAGTGCATGCTGCCTCGCAATCCATAACCACCACCCTCTGTACTCCCTTTCTTCCTCCTCCCTGAAGTGACAGATAATAGAGGTCTTAATTTGGCTTCTATCTTCGCACTGGTTACATATTTGCCCGTTGTTGCTGTGGTTGTTATAACTTGGTTAACTTCGTTTCGTAAAAAAGCTTAAAACAACATTTAGTTATCCAGTGCACAGCCGACCAAGATTCCACGGGCAAAGTCCAGATCATAATTTACGGGTGCCTCCAACAGCCAGCTGGAATTTTCGCGTCATTTTCCTCCTCCCTTCCTTGTTAAATTACAGCTTCCTTTCCCTAATCTCTGGGGGTTGGGTTTCTCATATACGTGATAATCAGAGAAGAAAAGGAAAAAAAAAAGTGTCTTAGATATATATATACCTAGTTCTGTCGTTCTACCCTTTTCAACCGCCACCGAGGCTACATCGAGCGAAGCCGTCTGAAAAAAAGCTAATTAGGAATTGAGTCTCGCCGAGAAGGAGTCCGAGACCCATTTGTCACCAATTATAGTTCCCGGAGCCCCGAGTTCTCCTATGCAACGCATATTCCGCGATTCTCCCATAGGAGGAGTCCTGGCATCGGTTTATCATCACAATACTCCCTACAAATAATCACTCTCTTATCACACTCATCGTCGAGTGGAGTATATAGAGCACCTGGAGCGCCCAGAGCACCGATCAGCGTCATCGTCGTCATCGTCATCTTTCTAAGCTGCATTCCAGTATCACCTTCCCTCGGCCGGTTTGACAAACTGGGATCCAAAGGAACCCTTAGAAACCTTGAATGGTTGGAGAAATCCACGCATGGCTAATAATGTCTCTGGCTACAATGCTCCCCATGACGAGCCCGTAGGTCGAAGCGAGAGGCCGCAACAACACTCATCTCTACCCCATACTCATTCCGACTACCCACGGTCTCATCATTCACATCTCTCCTCTGCCCGTTCGCATCCTTCTGCCCATCCAGACAGTGCCTTCAATAGACTCCGAATCCAACGGGCCGGAGAGCACCAAGATCTAAATACCTTCCCCGTCCCACCCATGTCCTCTGATGCTTCCAACTTCGCCGGCCCTCCACCCCCCCTTCACTCTCAGAGAAGGGCCCCAGCCGCACAAGACGCCAGTTACCCGCGTCTCACACGAACAACTGCGACTGCCACTTCGGGAAGAGATCATTTAAATCCAGCTGCAGCCGCAGCAGGAGGGATCGCAGGTTTCGGCGTTGGATTGGCTCATTCTGCAAATGGACGCCAGCGGAGCGGACCCGACGCCATGAGCGGTGCTCATGATGATGGCATGGGCATGGGAAATACCCAGTACAACTATGGCCCATCTGAGCGTGGTTGGGATGGGAACGGAAATGGAAATGGAAATGGAAATGGACACACGATAGGTTCTGATAATCCTTACGCCCCCTCAGGTTCGGGTATGCCCCCCACGGGCCCTTCTCGAATGACAGCCGCCAATGACTTTCATTCATCTAACATCGCTTTAGGCTCCGCGATGGATGGTCCTGGACAGACAACTCCCGGCCAGAGAAGCATTTACTCGAACAATAATGGACAGCAACAATGGAACCAATATGGAGGCGCAGGGGGCTTCTACGATGACCCCTATGTAAGACCTCCCCATAGCTCGTGGGGCCCCGTGAAAGCTGAACATATTAACCCCAATGATATCCTTGATGACGGGGACGATGGATTTATGCGCAATCCCCAAAGACGATCGATCCTAAGCCTTGGAAGAAACTCTAGCCATAACAGTCTGCCTGCCGGGGCTGCTGCTGCTCCTGGAGGCGCGATTCTCAAAGGCAGTCTGGGACGTGTTCAGGGTCCAAAGCCCGCCACGGGTGACCCCCCTGATTATGATATCGTTTCTACGGAAAAGAGTGAATGGCTAAATAACCAGAAACATGGCAACAAGAAACTTAAATGGATTGTTGGCATTATAATTGCCCTGGTAGTGGTTGGTGCTATCGTTGGCGGAGTGGTTGGTGGCGTTTTGAACGCTCAGCAAAACCGCTCAGGTGGTGGGAAGACTGCTAACCAGGACCTGGCTGAAAATGGGGACCTCGGAAAGGATTCTGCGGAAATTAAGAGCTTGATGGCTATGAACGGTTTGCACAAGGTGTTCCCGGGCATGGACTATACCCCCTGGGGCACACAGTACCCCCTATGCCTCAAATACCCTCCCAGTCAAAATAATGTCACGCGGGACATCGCCGTTCTCTCCAGGTTAACCAACACCGTGCGCCTTTACGGCACAGACTGCAACCAGACTGAGATGGTCCTCCATGCCTTCAAAAGATTGGAATTGACGGATATGAAACTCTGGCTGGGCGTGTGGATCGATAACAATGCCACGACAAATGACCGGCAGATCGAGCAGCTGTACAAAATCATCCAGGACACCGAGGACAAGTCGGTCTTCAAGGGCGTCATTGTCGGCAACGAGGTTCTCTTCCGCGGCAAAGATGGTGCGTCGACCTTAAGGACCATACCCTCGTTGAAAAATTACATTGAGAATGTCAAATCCCGGTTGAAAGAATTGAACGTCAACATACCCGTCGCCACGTCCGATCTTGGTGATAACTGGACCCTAGAGCTGGTAAGCGTATCCGATGTAGTTATGGCGAACGTGCACCCGTTCTTCGCCGGTGTGACCGCTGAAGAAGCTGCCGCGTGGACTTGGAGTTTCTGGCAGGAGCATAATGTTCCCTTGACCAAGGGCACGAGTAAGCCGCAGATTATCTCTGAAGTTGGCTGGCCCAGTGGGGGAGGCAATAATTGCTCGCCCGATCCGTGCCCGGACAGGACGTCTGGTTCCGTTGCTGGCATCGAGCAATTGAATAAGTTCATGGAAACTTGGGTGTGTCAGAGCTTGCTAAACGGGACGGATTACTTCTGGTATGAATTTTACCTTTTTTTTTTCCTACCAAAAAAAAAAAAAAAAAAAAAAAAAAAAAAAGACACATTCACTCTTCACTCTCCCCTGTTTGGATTCCCCGTTTTGCCATCCTACAACACATCCTTACAGCATCGTATCTAATTATCTCTCCGAAACAGGTTTGAAGCCTTTGACGAGCCCTGGAAAGAGATCCACAACGAGCCAGAGAAGGGAAAGGAATGGGAGGATAAATGGGGTTTAATGGATCCCGGCCGCAATCTGAAGGCCGGCCTGAAAATCCCTGATTGTGGTGGTAAGACCGCTTCATAAATATGGGAACGAAATTCCACATTCATTTGTATGCGTATATAATTCAGGAGGAGTTTTCTTTTCTTTTCTTTTTTTTTTCCTGTTTCCCAAAAACAACCAAAAGAAAAAAGTTACCCGTTTCCAACACTTGTACATCCCCTATTTTGCTTTACCGGCTTAATATACTTGCACTGGCAGAGGTTTCTCTTTCTCCTGTTATTCCAGCTTTCCTCTCCCTTATCAAGGCCGTCTATGCAGGAACCATCCCAACGGCTGATGTATGGGAGAGAAGAACCAGAGGGTCTTAATATACGGCATGCGTCCCTATTTCTCTTGTCATCTCCGCCTTTCTTTTTCCCGTCTTGCTCCTCGTTTGGCAATGCTGTATTCCATTTTTCATCATCTACTTGTATTGTGGGATCCGCCGCTAGTGTTCTCTTTCGTAAGTTTAAATAAGCGTGTAAAAATAACGTTGAAATATGATTTAAACTATACGATCCAGACCCCATAACTTAGCAAACAACATCCTCTCCATTCCCAGGGGAGCACCTTGTCCTTCATCACGGGTACATTATAATATCTCGTCGTCTCCCAGTACGGTCATCCTCGAGCATGTTTGAGCCTCATCGCTGGTTTCCTCTCAATCTGAACATAAACAGTATACGCAGAGCTGGATATTGCCTTTCAAATGATATCATGAAATCAGAGAGCCAGTTCGCAGCTTTGCCATACCACTACCAGCTTTTCCGCAAAGCCCGGCCTAAAACATATTTCTCTTTTCTTCGCTGAGCCACAAACTCTTGGGCTCTTTGGCCGTAGTATCACCTTAACTCTAAACTGGATTTAGGCGCAACATGCTTAGAAGGTATTAAGACATGCGGACAGCCAGCCCGTTCTCCACACTCGAATGTTACAAGTCTCAACTCTAA